AGAATGGAATATAGAACTTCATAGTTTCCAATGTCATGCTATTGATTAGTCATTAACACCACTTCTGGGAGCCTGTTTCAGACAACAATTTTCTTCCTCTTATTTCATATAAACAGATCTATATTCCACATCACACAGTGTGATTAAAAGTCATGAGTGTTGATCAACATTGTTTATACTTGTAAGCAGAACACTGGACCTAGGAGCCATTAGAATTCTAAGTGAAGTACTGCAGACATTTTAGAGCACGAATAGCCCACTAATGGTATTTCAAAACACATCAGAGAATCATGTTTAAACAGACTTCTCTTTATCTGATACATGAGGTCTAGATTTTGGGTGAAGGCTAGGAAACTTTTCTGCTGTCAGCTTCTCTCAGTAATATTTCCTTGCCATTTAAATACTGATGATTAGAAACTTATTTTCTGATTTTAAGTAATGTGTGAAGCAGTGTCCACAGAAGCTTTCACTGTTCTGTATAAGTTCCAACTATTGATTCACCTTAGACTCCTCACAGGGAATGTCCTCTGTTAAGTCAAAAACTTCATCAAAACTCTTAACTGCTGGAGATGCAGAGAAAGGTAGGAATGGTAAAGAGAGGACATTTTTACCTCTCTTCAGTTCTTCAAATCTACAACAAATTAGTCTTATTAATAACAAAATAAATGTCTCTCTGTGAGCTTTGCTAAAATTCTGGTGACAAATGAGAAACAGTTTCAGTGAGTGACTCATGAGGAGGAGCAGCTGGGAAAGCCCAGCCTCTCACTTCTCCTTCCATGGGGGTTTATGTAATGACTTGTATCACTGTGGGAGGTACTTCATTAGTCTGAAGACAGTAATAAGTTGCAATGTCTTCAGGCTCCAGGTTGCTGATGGTGAGAGTAAAATCTGTCCCAGACCCACTGCCACGGAACCTCGATGGGACCCCATCTGCTAAGCTGTTTGCCCAGTATATCAGGCGCTTAGGAGCTTTCCCTGGTTTCTGCTGGTACCAGGATAAATAATTACTAATACCCTTACTGGCATGACAAGTGATGGTGACTTTGTCTCTCAGAGATGCAGACAGGGAAGATGGAGACTGGGTCATCTGGATGTCACATCTACCACCTAGGAAAAGATATATATGAAAAATATCCACATAGTAAGGTAATAATGTACCCCCCACAAATTTCAATCAACACTAATCTCAATGTAACAGTGAAGTTCATATTATGCTCCTTTTTTACCTGGAAACCAGAGCAACAGTAGCCCAAGGAGCAGAGCAGGGATGCTCATGTCCATGCTGATTCCTGACTGGAATGGCAAGTGTACAGATTGTGACTAGTATATGAAGAAGTCCTCAAAGCTGTGCAGTGAGTGCATGCAAATCACTGGGAACTATTTAGGGCTGGGCACAGCTGCAAGGTTACTTATCTCGATAACTGAGCACAAACACAGTGTCCCTAGATGCCAAAGGACAGATCGCATATATGCATCCAGAGACTGCATTTCATTTTTAAAGATTGAAAATTATGAAGGAAAATTTGAAGGTTATTTGAAAATTTCTACAATACCTAAGCTTTATTTTAATAATATATTTCAAAGATATATTAGTGATAGTATAAAAAAATACCAGATGGTCATGGAAAATACAACAGAGAAGGTACAATTAAACCTTCAACTCTTTCAGATAAATCTTATGAAGTATAAAAAAACTATGGATGGTTGGTGGTGGCACTTGACTTTGATCCCTGAACATGAGAGGTTGGTGAATCTCTTAGTTCAAGACCAGCCTGCTGTGCAGACTGAATTCCACCACAACCAGAGCTATGTAGTGACACCCCATCACAAAAAAAGATAAATTAAAAAAAACTGACTATATGCTCTCTCTGAGAGCATTTGTGTATTTGTAGTAATCATTTTTAAATTGAAAGAATAATTTATATAAACCCACTTTATAAATTATATGTAAAATTTAGCAGAATTTGCCATACTTTCTATATCCCAAAGAAAGGAAGTACACAGTATGTGCACATATGACTCTTGGATCACAACAGCATATGTTAATTGAACTTCTGACTCTATCTAAAGAAGACTTGAGGTACTTTCATACCTACAGACGTATATGGGCTGCACCCTTTCGTCAGTGCAGGATCCTCCATATTTGGCCCCTTTTGTGTCATTTACTGCTGTTTCTTTGAATTCCTCAGCATACAGAACTGACTAGTAATTACAGACTTGAATAATAAAACAGAAAATACTGCTACTCAATACATTTCTCTTCTATGTATCGCAAACCACATTTTCACTGTTAAATCTTGAGCAGTGACTGAAGACATCATCCTGATTCAGGGACAAACTTTCTGCATGTATGTGTCAGTTTCTGAACTACAGATGGCACTATAGTTGATCAGGAGTTTAACCATTTCACCTAGCTTTTGCTATGTGATAGTTCCAATAATTTCTAATATTATGACTTGCCTTGCAAGTTGTGATGACTCTGTGTTTCTGAGTTGCAGACACAGGATGAGATGGTGAGACACTTGCCAAACAGCAGATGATCATCAGCTATAGAGGATGCTTCAGAATTATCTCAGTAATTACATAGGCTTTTGATTGCAATAAACCGTGGATATGAGGACAATTCATACTTGTCTTCAGAGACAGAATCTCTTCTATAAAAATCCTACACCACTAAATACATTTTTGAGATTATTTTCAATTTGTAGGGGACATGGCACTATATGATACAATATTTAATTATTAACTAGAAAAACCCTTACCACTGTTGGACTCTGGCGTCCAAACACCGAGAAGGAGTCGCCCCCAGAGACCACACACCACAGCCGATGCAAAAGCATGAGGATTTTTATTAATTCTGTCATGANAAAAATAATAGAGGAATGCTTCTAGTTTTCTAACTGGCAGACAATGTCTGACTGAGTGTTTGCAGGATTTTAAGTGTTTGATTAAACACATAATGAATTGATTTACAAAGTAGCAGGGAACCTTGACTAAAAGCAAAATGATAGTAAAGATAAAGAGGAGATATGGTAAAGAATGACTGAGGGCAGTATTGGAGATACAATCATCAAGGGCTAAATTATCATTTTGAGCTTCCTCTTGGGACTAAAGAAAACAAGGAGCTGGGTTGCTCAAGGTGTTACCTTTGTGAATCCTTGTTTTATTTTATATTTCTAGGTGATAAATCTTGTAAAACATTGTGTTTTTATTCATTTTTTAGTTGTTTTCCAGCCCATGCACAGTTTTCACTCATTCCTCTCCCCCAAGTCTCTCATCTTCAATATACCACCTCCATGTCTCCTCACATGGATATCAACAGAATATGGCATATCAAGTTGTAGTAAAACTAAACACCTCATATTGCATCAATACTGGGAAAGGTAACTCAGAATGAGAAATAATATGCCAAAAGCCAAGAAAAGAGTCAGAGACAACCAGTGCTAATAATATTAGGAGTCCCACAAGAAGACAAAGCTACACAACTGCCACATTATGTACAGTGTATACATCAGTTCCATGCAGGCTCATTGGTTATTGGTTCAGTCTCTAAGGCCTCCTATGCACACAAGTTAATTGATTCTGTGGATTTTCCTGTGATACATGGCTCCTATAATAATTCCTTCCTTTCTTCAGCAATATTCTCCAAACTTGGACTAATGTTTGACTGTTGGTCAAATATCAGATTCCACTAGGTGCTAAATTACTGNCTGACTGAGTGTTTGCAGGATTTTAAGTGTTTGATTAAACACATAATGACTTGATTTACAAAGTAGCAGGGAACCTTGACTAAAAGCAAAATGATAGTAAAGATAAAGAGGTGATATGGTAAATAATGACTGAGGGCAGTATTGGAGATACAATCATCAAGGGCTAAATTATCATTTTGAGCTTCCTCTTGGGACTAAAGAAAAAAAGGAGCTGGGTTGCTCAAGGTGTTACTTTTGTGAATCCCTGCTTTATTTTATATTTCTAGGTGACAAATCTTGTAAAACATTGTTTTTATTCATTTTTAGTTGTTTTCCAGCCAATGCACAGTTTTCACTCATTTCTCTCCCCCAAATCTCTCATCTTCAATATTCCACCTCCATGTCTCCCACATTTTTATTTAGAAAAGGACAGGCCTCACATGGATATCAATAGAATATGGCATATCAAGTTGTAAACACCTCACATTGCATCAATTGTGGGAAAGGTAACCCAGAATGAGAAATAATATGCCAAAAGCCAAGAAAAGAGTCAGAGACAACCAGTGCTAATAACATTAGGAGTCCCACAAGAAGACAAAGCTACACAACTGCCACATTATGTAGAGTGTATACATCAGTTCCATGAAGGTTCATTGGTTGTTGGTTCAGTCTCTATGGCCTCCTATGCACACAAGTTAATTGATTCTGTGGATTTTCTTGTGATACATGGCTCCTACAATAATTCCTTCCTTTCTTCAGCAATATTATCCAAACTTGGACTTATGTTTGACTGTTGGTCAAACATTAGATTCCACTAGGTGCTAAATTACTGGTGTTAGCTATATGGACATGTAATCCTCACATTGCAAATATTTTATAACCCTTCTGTGTATTACAAGAATTAAAAATTGTGTTCAAGTTCTGCTTTGCTGTTTAATAAAAATCTGTTTTAAAAAT